CCCCAAAACCCCAAAACCCCTTTTCTTAATATCAATTTTGAATATTTATATTATAAGTATATTGTAGAAATAAAAATGTATAACTAATTTAAGCGTGTTTTTGGGCTATAAAGTGACTAGAACTACAAATATGAACTCATTAATAAAGCTTAGAGTGCTCCTAAGCATTAAAAAATAAAAACTCTCATCAGATTACTATTAGCCAACATACTTTACTTAATCGTTTAATCTCATATTTGCTATCATGACAGTGTAAACGAGTGCATGAAAAGACACCATGTGCCAGGCATTCCCTATATGCTTGGACTGACAATCCTTAGTTTCATACTTTTCACTTATGAATTCAACTCAAGATTTAAGGATTACATTAGATTTGAAAAAGACTTTGATCTTAAAGTAATGATATTGATAATTCTTAATATCTCAATGCTTGTATTATTCTTTTAAACTGCAGATTATCATAGATTTGGTGGACTTTATACTTACATATTTGTAACTCTAATGACTATCTACCTTACTTTTAGATTGATATGCTTTATTACTCACAAAATCAGCAAATCAATTGGAATTTTAAAAACCCTTATAATATGGGGCTTAATCATCACTTATTACAGCTATAGATTTCACACATATATTTACTCTAGTTGCGAAAACTGGAAGAAAGGTCTCTCCGTAGGCCTAGATGAGACTAATATAGAGTTGTGCAAGATTCCTGATGATATATAAATTTGTCCCTTTGAACTGACTGATGGATATCTGGATCTATCCAAGCACTTTAGAATGTTTCAATGTGAGTACTAAGAAATAAGACCTGACTATATAACTACATACTACAAAACTGAAAAGCCTTATATTGGTCATCCACTATCCAAGAATTTTAACTATGAGTAAAGATGGTTTGACACTTTTTATTACGAGATAATTAATAATTCAAAGGGGTATGATACACTTGAGGAAGCACTCGTTAATCATGAGGTTATTGTTGACACAAAGAATTCTAAGATGATCACTAGTGTATTAAGAAATGAAACATTAGTAAAGGAAAGATAACAAACAATGGAAAAAAGTAATAAACTAAGAGGAGATTTGCAATAGAATCTAATGATAGTATTTATTGACACGCTATCAAGACAGAGGCTTCATAAAAAATTGCCAGAGACAGCTAAATACCTGAAGGGACAAAATCATAAAGAATTCTTTAGACTACATTCACTGATAGGAAGGACGCAAGAAAATGCAGTCTCTATTTTGTATGGAAAAACGCTAGAGGATTTTGTGCATGAACCTGCTTATGGTTAGGATGACAGAAAATTTAAAGGGCCACTTGAGGAAAAATGGGAGTCTATATTTGAAGAATTTAAAAAGCAAGGTTTTATCACAGGCCATACAGCCAATAACTGTGAGACTAATTTATTCTTTTAGAATGATTTCTTTGACTAATATCTCAAGAATTCAGCACCTGATCATGAAAATTTGAGTCCGATGTGTGATCCACATATAAAAGACTATCTATCAGGAGATATGGACTTTAGAAGTTCGTTCGCATCTACTCGCAGATGTATCTACAATAAAGATTCTTTCGAGTATGTGTTTGAATATACACGGTAGTTCTTCAGTGCTTATAAGACTGAGAACAAAATGTTGTTTATGACTTTTATGGACATGCATGAAGGCACCTCTGAGGTCATCAACTATCTTGATAAACCTCTTGCCCTTTTCCTTAAGGAAATGGAAGATGAAAATACAGCAGTTTTCATGTTTAGTGATCATGGGTTTCATATGGGAGGTATTAGGAAGGATCTGGCAGGCAGGTAGTAAGAAATAGAGCTATACAACTCATTCATGATCATGAATAATATGCTTGGACTCACTGAATAGTAAGAGAGAATGCTCAACTTTAATCAACAGAAATTGCTTACTCACGTGCATGTTTATAACTTCTTCAAGTTTTGGGCATCTGGTGTAGATCCTAATGACTAAATGAGCATGATATCAACACTGCCACATGACAAGGACACTTGTACATTTATTGGTCAAACTTGCTTTTGCCAAAATTTTTTCAATGGTGGGAAATATTAGATTATACAATGATAGTTTAAAATTTTGATTAATTTTTTCACAATATATCATTATATTTCTAGTCTTTGGGGTTTTGGGGTTTTGGGGTTTTGGGG